GAGGGAGGGTCACGGAGCGCTGTACCACTCACAGAGTCCGGAGGCTTTCTTCGCTCATGTGCCAGGCATAAAGGTGGGTCTGGGGAGGGGGGTAGGGATGATGGAATGATTGACCTTTGTCTTCCTTTGACCTTGACCTTTGTCTTCCTTTGACCTTGACCTTTGTCTTCCTACGACCAACTAATACACCAAATATCATCACAATCCATAAAGGCGTTCTGAAGTTATGCTGACTACAAATATGCAGAAACACACACACACACAGACAGACACGCCAAAAACAATACCTCCATTTTTCATGGAGGTAATAACATCATGTACATGTACCCTAAACTCTAACATCCCATGTTTTTTACATACATCAATACAAAATATTAAATCCTTTTGATTAGTTTTTCTGACTTGTTTGAACTACAACATAACAACCCCCGGTGTTTAGAAGAACAGACCATGGTTTCGTCGGAGAAGGTTAGACATCCAGGTAGTAAGATATGCCTAAAAAGCAGTTACTCAAGCAACTGGAGTTTCCAAAATCATATCCAGTTGCTTGAGTAACTGTTTTTTGGCAGGCCATGGTTACCTGTCCCCCAGAATGTCTGTTTGACGTCAGGTTACCCAGGTACAGGTAATCCCTCTGTGCAGGTGGATTGTTCTCTTGTTTTCCCATGTCCTTTTCAGGACGACATCCAGACAGGGCTGGAAATACTGGGTGCTGAGTGCACCCAAATTTGGAGCTGCGCACCCATTTTTTTTCTCTGGGTGCACCAGTGCACCCAAATATTTTCTTAGGTTGGCATATGTAAAGATGTTGATGTATGGTAGTATGCAGCATATTCTTAACATCTTAGTGTCAGAAAAATTATAAAAATCTTTTTTTTAACACGATCATACTTTTCATTGGTGTAATTCAGCCTCTGATTGCAAGTTTCTTGATTGATTGACTGACTGACTGACTGACCGACTGACTGACTGATTGACTGATTGATTGACTGACTGATTGACTGACTGACTGACTGACTGACAGTCAGTGACTGACTGACTGACTGACTGACTGACTGACTGACTGATTGATTGATTGATTGATTGATTGGTTGATTGATTGATTGATGAAAACTTGGCTTTCAAACAAATGGTTTATTTTCATGTTGCTCTCAATCCTGAGTTCAGTGTTATTTTTCTGAGGTCTGAGAATGAACAAATCTGATTATTGCTGGTGACTAGCTTGTCTGATTAAGTCTTGCCCAACTTACGTCACTGCGGATGTGAAAACAATACCACTCTGTGGCGCTAAATTATATTTGCGTTTCACGCTGTGGTGGCTCATACTGTAATTCACTTTATGTTCACAGTAGCAAAAGTGCACGGTCTGAGAAAAATAGACATGTTCACGGAACTATATATTCACGGTGGCGACAGTTGCAGGAAAAAGAAAGTTCAGTAATTATTTGTTAACTGTAATGATAAGTTCACGGTACAGACGTGACAGTGAAAACAGTGGACATAAAAGTACAGTGAAAAATCAGGAATTACAGTATCCTCTTCATTCAGAGTAGTTACCATGGAGGAGAAAGAACTTGAACAGTATTGTGTACAGTGTGGGGTTTGGGATAGAGGTGCATTGTGTATGTAACATGGGAACTGTTTAAGGTACAGTACACCAACTCATAGCTTTTCTTCAGGGTGGCAAAACTGAATTTTCATTTTCAAAACTGAATTTTCAAAGTCAATTTTAAGGTCTTTCTTTTCATGTAGCAAGTTGAATTAAACCTACAATGTATCCTGTAGCATAATGACACGCTGTATCTGTGAGGAAAAAATGTTGCTGACGGAAAATGGTTGCATGCGCTGTTTCTAGCTATTTCACTGTTGAAATTTTTTAGAGTATGATCAGACAAAAATGTGCTAAGAAATGGCAGTACATTCAATATCAGACAGATTTTCTCACCAAGAATTTTTTTTTGTTTCGCTGGCCTGAAATTGCATTGGATGCCTTTAAGGCCACGCCAATGTATATTTATGTCCAGGTTTTTCAGTTCAAAACTTTGGCCACATAACATGGAGGCGGACACTTGACGATGCCCGATGGCAATGTTTTCTTCATTTTGTAGCACAGATTTGGAAGGTTTTAGGTCAGGTTTAGAAAGAAAAGGAGTATGTGACACGGTTTTGTTTTTTTTGTAATAAGTCCCGAATCGGTTCTTGACTTTTGTTTTTACTTGAACCTAAACATTTTTACAAGTCCGGAACCGGTCCAGTGAACCGGTAACGTTACACAGCACTAGTCCGACTCATACTCAACTTGTAGTTACAACACAGAACCAGTTATGCGAACAAACAAAACAAAAACACGGCAAAGTTGACACAACATCTTTACCGGATATTCCTATTGTGTTCTGGCGGTGTCCAAAATATTTACAGAATTTATGAAGCTTCTATTCTTAGACTTGGTGGAGTTCACCGACCTTGAACTAGGAGATGAAGGTCGTTGTAGTGATATATTTGGATCCGTATGGGCATCATGTACACAGGAAAACATATAAGTTATATTTAATACAAGAAAACAATTAGGTCTAATAATTTTGTATGTGTGTGTGTGTATGTGCACGTGTATCCATACAATAGATTACAAATTAGAGAAATGCTCTGTCTCCTGCACAAAACTGAAGACAAGGTACGATGGATATTCTTCCTTCTGTATCGCGGTTGACAAAAATGCGGTGCCGGAGTTACTGTCTCCATCTTTCTGGCCGTGCGGGATCCTGGTGCGTCGTTTCCACGGTAGACGACGTCCCTCTACGTCTTAACCATGGATCCTGTCCTGAATCTGCGAACTACATCTTGTGACCTTGCCCAGAACTTAAGGATTGTATCCTACAACTGCCGCTCGGCAAAGAACTCGCTGGAATCGATCAAAGAACTCTGTAACTCTCATGACATTGTTTTGTTACAGGAGCACTGGCTCCTCCCCAATGATCTCCCGTACCTTAATGGTATTAGCAAGGACTTTACTTCATATGGTAAGTCTCCAGTTAACCTCGAAGAGGGTGTATTACAAGGGCGTCCCTACGGGGGAGTCGGAATCTTGTGGAGAAAAACCATATCTTCTGTCGTTTCTCCAGTAGAAATAGATGATGATAGTTTAATTGCGATCAAGATTGTTTCTGATGATTGTCAATTGTTACTTGTCTGTGTTTACATGCCTTATGACTCACCTGCAAATCACGATGCGTATCTCGACAAACTTGGCAAGTTAGAAGCAATAACTAATGACTACGACTCGTTTACCACTGTAATTCTTGGTGATTTTAATGCCTCCCCTACAAATAGGTTTGGTGTATTGTTACAAGAATTTTGCGAGGAAGTAGGTCTACACTGTTCGGACACTGAACTCCTCCCTGCTGACTCGTATACCTATCTTAGTGACGTACATGCTTCCACGTCTTGGCTTGATCACTGCCTTGCAAGCGACACAGTTCACCAAAGCATTTCTGACATTCAAGTGATCCACAACCTTGTTACGTCCGATCACTTTCCGCTTAGTGTCTGCTTAAATATGAGTTTTCCTACTGTGATTCAGGTGCCACCCTCTTCCGAAACTCGACGCAAAGTCATTGACTGGGCCAAGGCTAAACCAGACCATATCACCATGTATAGTCTAGCTTTAGATGCTCGTCTCTCTGATATTGTTTTACCCTTAGAATCACTAGTATGTAGGGATCCGAACTGTACGGACCCAACACACACTGATGCCCTAAACCTGTTTACCTGCCAATTAATTTCCTTAATGAAAGATTCCGCTGATGTCTCTGTTACGCAGAAAAATTGCTGTAATTCTTTTAAACCGGTTCCCGGGTGGAACGAGGTGGTTAAAGATTTACACTCCGCTTCTCGAGAGGCCTATGTGTTATGGAGGGAAAGTGGCCGCCCTCGCTCAGGACAGATCTTTTCCTTAATGTGTAAATCGAGGGCGAAATTTAAGTATGCCCTGAGGCGGTGTAAACAGGATGAAAAGAGGGCTAAAACTGATTCGATTGCGAAAAGTTTTAATGCTGGCCAATCAAGAGAGTTCTGGAGAAAAATTCGTAATTCTAAAACGTCCCAGACAATCATACCAAACTCTATTGACGGCTGCTCCGGTTCTGAGCAGATCGCAGACCTTTGGAAAACCCACTTTGCGACTCTGTTAAACTCAGTAAACAACCAGACTCACCGACCAGCTGTATTATCTGCATTGTCATCTACGTGTTCTTTTGATCCTGATATGCAAATCTCGGCACAGGAAGTTGATGAGGTTATTAAGAACTTACCCAATGGAAAGGCCTGCGGGTCTGATGGGATTTCAAATGAGCATTTGAAGTATGCTGGGCCTAAATTGAGTGTCCACTTATCTTTGCTATTTTCGTCTGCCCTAGTGCATAATTTCTTACCGAGTATCCTTTTAGATACTATTTTGGTTCCAATTGTGAAAAACAAATCTGGTAACATTTGTAGTAGTGAAAATTACAGGCCTATAGCCATCGCTTCGGCTCTGTCTAAGGTCCTGGAGGCTATCTTACTAAATCGCCTTGAGCCCTACATTCTTTCGTCTGATCACCAGTTTGGTTTTAAGCGTCATCATGGACTTGACATGTGTGTCTTCACCTTGAAGCAGACGATAGAGTATTATAGGAGTCTTGGTTCTCCTATCTTCACTTGCTTTTTAGACGCCTCCAAGGCCTTTGACAGAGTAAATCACTGGACCTTATTTAAAAAACTTCTAGACAGGAAAGTACCTGTGTTCATTGTACGTTTTCTTGCATACTGGTACCAAAATCAATCAATGTGTGTAAGATGGAACAATACCCTGTCTCTCCGTTTTTCTGTGTCAAATGGGGTGAGGCAAGGGAGCTTGCTATCGCCTGTACTGTTTAATATCTACATTGATGACTTAAGTTACTTAGTAATGCGAACGTTGGTTGTTATATAGGTGGTCACTTGGTGAACCATCTTTTTTATGCTGATGATATGTGTTTAATTTGCCCAAGCCTGAAGGCTCTACAAAAACTCGTGAATATATGTGAAGAATTTGGCTTCATAAATGATGTATTATTTAATGCAAACAAATCTTGCTGTATGTATTTCCCAAGTGCCCGTTTGCTACTTAAGCGACCTCTTCCCTGTGTTAAATTGAACGGAGAGCCTTTGAAATTTGTTACGTCATATGTTTATCTCGGTATTCACATTAATGACAAACTGAGTGACGACGACTGTATTCTTACCCAGATAAGAGGTCTGTATAGCCGTGCAAATACTATTATACGCAAATTCGCTTATTGTTCTTCATATGTTAAAAAGACGTTGTTTACAGCTCATTGCTCCCAACTTTTTGCTGCACAGTTGTGGGACAGAGCTAGTTCTAGAATTGTATCAAAGTGTCGAGTTGCTTACAATAACTGTCTTCGCATCATAATGTCACTACCCAGATTTTGTAGTGCAAGTGAAATGTTTGTATACAATAGGATTGACACATTTGATGCTACATGGCGTAAACAATGTTACTCATTTATATCCCGTCTATACAAGTCATCAAACAACATTATCCAATCTGTTCTTAAATCTGAAGTGATATTCCGTAGCAGATTCTTTCGCAATAACTGGGCCCGTCTGTACATATAGTTATATTATTATTTTACTGATGTTATTGTGTGTGTATTTTATATGTATGTTGTGTATGGGCGACTTATGCCTGAAATAAAGAAATAAAGAAATTTGTGTATCCATGAAGTGCATGATTGTAAATTTTGTGGGGACACTAAGCGTAGCAATAGTTTGATGAGGTCTCTTTCCATTTCTTTACACAGCAACTTTGGTCTGTCAAATAATATAAAGATGACAGATTGGGCAAGATTTTTGTCCGTCATAAGCATCAAAATTCCATCAAATAACAATGTTGACTAGAACTCTTGTGTAGTCTTGTCATGAAGTACATCATTAAGAACTCAACACCAGACAAGACTTTGAAGTTTGCCATCAAAGTCAGCGTTGGTTTCTGAACAAGTCAGCATCGACACTCAGGGATTTGTTACTTCATGTTTGTGATTCTGACGGTATCACGGACAACCAAGTTTTCCTGCCTGTGCTTGTTAGGTTGTGATCCTGTGAGGCCCCATCCAACTTTTTATTTTTATTTTTTTTTTTAACCGAATTTAATGTCATTTTCCCCCAAACGGGGGTTAGACGTGCTTGCACCAGGTACAAGTCTTTTTTTTGAAGCAAGATTTTTACGGCTGGATGCTCTTCCTAATGCCAACCCAAACCCTAGTAGGGCCCAGGATCCCTCTAACTGAGGGGGGAAATGCATGTTAAGTGCCTTTCCCAAGGGCACAACGTCTGGGTGCATGTCCAGACATGTCTGGGTCCAACCCTGGGGATTGAACCTGGGTCTCCTTGCTTGACAGTTGGACGCTCTATCCACTACACCACACAGACGCCACATTATGCATGTACAAATGTACTCTTTTTAATCCTTGGTTTTCCAGTTTGATTGAATAAGGCCACAGCAAGTAGGTTTTGTGGATGACATCCTCCACAGACTCCAAATCTGATGCGAGCGGGCGGGGAAAAAAAAGCAAGGCGGGCCAAAAAAAAAAAATTCCTTCATTCTCCAATTTTGACATCATAAACCTTGTTAAACAAGAAACGATACCTATATTGTGCTAACTTAACTGCCAACAATTACAATATACATTTCTCACTGAAACAACTTACTTGCTGTGGCCTAGTAACATCTGTGTCCATAATATCACCATAGTCCATAATATCGCCACCTTGAGAAAAAGTCTGCTTGAAGATATTTTTACTGCAACATACCCTAGGTATGTACATTTGATGTGTGCAGGAGTGCATACCAAAAGTATGTTACAGTAGAAATATCTTAAAGCACACTATTTCTCAAGGTGGCGATACTATGAACCCTGGTGATATTATCACACGGATGGTAATTATATAAAGAAATAAAAAAAATCTCATCTTTTCCTTTCTGTGCCGTTAGGTTGTGATCCCGCGAGGTCCGATCCAAGCCAAGGGCCTGCTGCTGGCCTGTATCAAGGACGACAATCCCTGCATCTTCCTCGAACCTAAGATCCTCTACAGAGCGGCAGGTCAGTTATCTTTCTTCTTTCAGATATATTCTTTCCTTCCATTGAAATTGACTTTGCTTATATGTTCACAGTAGCGAATATTCATGGTCTAAGAAAAAAGGAGGTGTTCACAAAACTATAGTACCTGTATATGTTACATACAGAAGTAACTGCGAACATAAAAGTACTGCAAAAAAAATCATGGATTACTGTTACAGTAACAGTACATTTTGTACTTTTGATTTTGAATGGAGCAAGACTTTGAGACAGCCTTTATTGTATATTCATGCCTTATTCTCGCTAAGCACAGGCCTGCAAGTACAAACTAAAGTAGTAGTAATGTACATACATTGACAAGACTTTTAATAAGAAATAAAATTACGTCTGAGATTTGAACTGGAAACTTGTTGAATACAAAGCGAACACTCTACCCACCATTTCAAGTTCTTCCAAGTTCCAACTATTTCTGCTCCCCCCCCCCACAGTTGAGCACGTGCCTGTCGGTGACTACACCCTGCCGCTGACCTCTGCAGAGGTCGTTGTGGAGGGGAAGGACGTTACCATGGTAGCGTGGGGGACGCAGGTCCAGGTGCTGAGGGAGGTGGGCGACATTTTTTTTACATTTTCAATTATGTTCACCGAACGGAAACATATGTTTTTGCTCTGTTTCCTCTTCTTCTTAAAAAAAAAAAAGGTCAATGACCTGAACCAGACGTCTGTCACCATGGTAACTAGTGTTGGGTTACATACATCATGTTGCAATTTTATAGCAGGAGGGATTTAGACTCCTGTTTGACTGTGTGTTATTGAGCAAGAATTAATAATTAACCAGACCATATGCAAACTTCAAGGTAAACATTTTGCACAGGTGATGTTTGACCAATAAACAATATTATGAAACCATTTCCCCGTATGTTTGCCACATTTCCCGATATGTTTGCCACATGTTTGCCACACCAGGTGTGTAACATGGCGCAGGAGAAACTGGGCGTGTCCTGTGAACTCATCGACCTCAGGACCATCATGCCCTGGGACTCAGAGACCGTCATCAAGGTCAGTGTTTCATAACGCTTGCTTTCTTTATTCTTTATTTCAAGCATCTATGGCCCATATAAAATAAAAAATACAATAAATAGCAACAATTGAAATACACACTGAGAGTACAGACGGACCCAGACATTTTTTGCAGAAGATTACATCAGAGTTTACCTTTGCAGAAGGAAAACATTTTGTTTTGCTCTGTTCCTTCTTCTTCTTCTGTTCCACACAAATAAGGTCATCATTGACCTGGACCAGATGTCTGTCACCGTGGTAACTGGTGCTGGCAGAATGGTACATGAAGATGAACCTTCTGTCCATGTTTGTGCAGATTTCAACATTCTGCATTTCTTGCACATACATGTAAAATTTTGGTTAAGAATTACATTGAAGTTGTCTCTTTTTTCTCTTTTCAGTCTGTGAATAAAACAGGCAGGCTTTTAGTTGCGCATGAGGCACCTCTAACCGGGGGCTTCGCTGCCGAGATTGCCTCAACTGTACAGGTAAGTCTGTCAATCAATCAATCAATCAATCATGTTCTCAATGTTTGTGGACTAATATGTCAGTGCCAGTTTGATGCTTTGGTTCACACAGTTTTACGGAATGAATGTAGTTAGACTCAGTTTTTATATGCTGTCATGAACCAAACAAAGTCAAGTCAAAGATTACCACACAACATTTGTAACAGTTACAGACTCACAGTGTTAGGGAAAGTGTTGTATGAAACCTACATAAATCTAGTATGATCTACATGTAGTTCATAAGCTTTACAATTACAGTCATTTTCTGTAATGGTGCCTGCTATCAGCTACACATGTGTTGCTGCCACTGTATTGTTTTGTCGCAATTCAAGTACTACTGGATGTACATGTACCAGTATACACTGTATTGCTTACTAGTTTATGATCTGGTTATCAACTGTTTGTCTGTTATTTCTGCCCCAGAGTGAGTGTTTTCTGCACCTGGAAGCCCCAGTAGAGCGGGTGTGCGGGTACGACACACCTTTCCCCCACATCTTCGAACCCTTCTACATGCCAGACAAGTGGCGATGTTTCGAGGCCATCAAGAAAATCATCAACTACTGACAACTTAAAGTACGTACCAAGCTTCATCTGTATCACATCATATAACTGTACAAAGTACAGTTTCGTACCTGCACGTACATGTACAAGCTGCGTAAGACCGGACTGTAAGGTTTGAACCACTCACACCGGGACGGTCCCCTACGCTTTTCGATAAGTGCGGTGGCTTCTTTAACGTGCGTGGCTCTCCCCAAACACAGGACCTCCATTTAACGTCCTATCCGAGGGACGTCCCTAACCGAAGCTAGGTACTCATTTCCACCTGAGTTAAGTGAGGAAAGTCGTGTAAAGTGCCTTTCCCAAGGGCACAAGACCAGTGACATGGGCAGGATTTGAACCCGCAACCTCTTGGGTGTGAGCCGAATGCGCTACCGATTGTGCCACACGACCCCACTTTCATCGTAAAACAGCTCTTAAACCAAGTCTTGCTTCCAGACTAGTACTGTGCAGTCAAGGAGGATCATTGTAGGACGTTGTCCTGAATTTCCAGTCACTCGTGTCTTTTCCCCGTTGGTGCGAAATTTACTGTTTTATCCGGCCATGAAATTTACGATTTTCCACGGTCCTTGTCCCTCACATCTGGCTGCTCCTCGATTCAGGCCTAGGAAAGAAATTTAGTGTTTCCTGTTTCAGTCCTGAAAAAAGTAGGGTCAGTAGGTAGGGATTATCTTTTTTTTTTTCTTTGGCAATCTCTATATAGCAATCCAACTCATATACAATACAGTTTAACAATCAAGTAAAACTTGTATGAGGACACTTATATTTTCAATGTCAATGTTGGAAAACAGATTGGACAATGTTTCATCACTCAGGTTTCAGATCATGGAACTAGAAAATTTAATGGTCGATTCAGCTCGAAAAATTCACGTTCCTTGCCGGGGTCCACCCCAAAAAAACCAACTGTGTGTGTGTGTATGTGTTTGTGTGTGTGTTTGTGTGTGAGAGAGAGTGTGTATGTGTGTGAATGTGTGTGTGTGTGTGTGTGTGAGTGTGTTTGTGTGCGTGTGTGTGAATGTGTGTGTGTGTGCATGCATGTGTAAGCATGTGTATGTGAAGACTTTAGGTTTAACTTTATTGTGGGAAACAGGAAACACAACATTTTTGTCCCCGGGCCTCGATACAGACTGCGAAGTCCATCTGTATTTGATGTACTTGACATAGCTAGCCCAGTAACCCTTAACCCTGGCAGCGATATTTCTGCCAGAGGCAACTCCCTGACACGCCGGTTGATAAGAGGAAAAGTTGGATTTGCTGGCTCGTGTCCAGCCCATGTTTTTGTGGGGTTCAGGGTGGGGACAGCCTGGCAGCCTGGTTAGATATTCTGGTCTGTGTGTGTGTGTGTGTGTGTGTCGTACGTGTGTTTGTGTCTGTGTGTCTGTGTGTGTGTGAGGTGTGTGTGTGTGTACGTGTCTGTGTGTCTGTGTGTGTG